CCTGTTTTTTGGGCATCACAGTTGTAGCTGTCCCCTGCTCTCAGTGTGGTAGATCTGCTTAAGGCTTCCAGTTTGCAACCAAGGAACTTCTAAGAAGTGTCCTAGCCACTGCTTGCAATTAAAACTGTAGGCAATAAACGGAGTCATGTGTATGAAATGTTTAGCCAAAAACTGAGGAAAAAATAAGCTTGCAGGCTTCTAGGTCATTTTCTAAGAATTTCTCGATGTCATGCAGGTGAATTTCCAAACTATTAAACATTCTGTAATCATTTTCTTTCACATTGTAGCCTGTCCTCTTTAAATTTCATCTCCAATGTCAGTATCTTTGAGTACACTGAGTTTTAATAAAAAGACAGCAAGCACTTCAGGCTGCAAACAGACTGTGCAGGTTTATTGCTGTGTTTATATGTCCTGTATAGGTTCCATATTACTTTGTAGGGTACAAGTATTGGTATTCACCCAGAAACCATCAGTCAGTCTGCTCAGTAAATGGTTGTGCCTTTCACTGACTTGTTTTCTTGTCCTCTTGGATTAAGAAGCAGATGCCATTCTACAGAAAGAGAGGAAATGAGAATGGAAACCTCAGTTGTCCAGAGTGCATTCCTTTCTGCATCTGGAGCCTGCCCGAAAAGGGATTTTGTTTATGATGTGACTGATGCTGAATTAATATATCCATTTATTTGGTCTGACTCTCTTTGTGTTGGTAGTTAGCAAAAGACAGATTCATCAATTTGATGCCTCTTGGGAAAATCCTTTGGATGTAAACTGCAGTTGCTTGCCAAGTGAACTTTCTGCCATGATCAATATTTAAAAGTAGAACTTAGAGTAGTGTGCTATAAAAAATTGCATCAAGATTGAAGTTATTAATTTATATCAGAGAACAACTTGCTGTCAGCATCAGAATAGGACAAAACTTTTGAGATGTTGTTCCAAATTCAGGAGTATTTAATTGTGTTTAACTTTCTCTATATCTTTTGTTAAGCAGTGCTTGCTCTATACCTGACATAAATCACCTGAGCTGCCTGTTAGGGTGGTAAATCCCAGGCCACTGGGCCAAGTGAGACCTCTCTCTACAAGTTCTTGCTAAGAGTGATTTTTCTTGACAGTTCAGGCATCACTGTGCTATATCTCTGTTTATTTCATGGTGAGGTCTTGGAACAGTTTTCCCAACTAAAAGGGGATTCCTGTACCTGCAGACAATTTCTTTGTCCATCACAAAGCAGGCAATTAAACTTTCCTTACTGTTCTCTGCTTTGCATTTCCAACTGAAAGAAAGGGTCAGCAATAAGAATTAGAAGTTTAAAAGACAAACACCTTGTCATTGACTGGGTTTACTGGCTAGAAGAAAATAGCCAAGCTAAAACATGTTCTCTGTAACATTTGGGAGAATTTTCCATCCAGGTAGATTCTGGTTTCTAGAGCAACATATTGGTCAATTTTCTTGAGCATCTAATTAAGCAAAGAGCTCACTCTTGTGACACATAACAAATCCATCTGCCTGTAGCTTTGCTGCTGGTTCTGTTTTCCCTCTTGGGGCTTGTTTGTGGTAAAGTTTAGTGCAGTGTAACAAGCACTTTAGTGTAGTCCATTATTACTGTCAGAGGTAATATGCTGCCTTTACATCCTTCTGAATAGTACTGTGTGCATCTTACAAATAAATTAATGTTTCAAGCTTCAAAGCTATAATCACAGGCTCTTTTCTGGAGCTGAATTGCATTGTAGGAAATTGCTTTAATGGAATGATTTCTCATGTTTTCATTTCTCTCAATATTAAAATAAATCTTTATATGTAAATCCTAATACAGTTGAATTATTTCAGCTATAAAAATAGCTGAATAGGCTTTTGCAATTTATTAGAAGATGGGGGTCACTTAATATTGTTCCTTTTCACTATAATTATGTTTCATAAATGACAAAATAAAGATGTTTTTATTATTATGTTTTTGTCTACTAGCCTTGTGCTAAATTTAGGGTTCTGCATTAAACTTGAGATGGGGAATATTCAATCACACAAAAAAGACTTTGCTTATTTTTAGTATTTAGATACTATAAACAAATAATAACTATGGAGTTTAATCTAATAGAAACTATGTAGTTTCATGTCAAGAATTATTGAAGGCAAAGTATAATTGAAGCTTCAGGAGATGAGAAGTGCACTTAAATAGTTTTTTAAAGTAGAGATACTCATTTAAATAAAAATCTGTGCAAGGAGGCTGCATCCTGTTAATGGAGCATGTTGAAGTAAGATGACAGAAATTTGGTAAACCAGCAGAAAGCCTATAGCTCAAAGACTAGGATCAGCTGGAAGAAGAGAAATTATGTAATTTTGAAAGGAACAATATTATATTTGCATTGGAAAGATAAAATTGTACATACAGTTTGCTTTCCAACAGATGTTATCTTTGTTAGGCAAAATACTAAGCACTTACCTTACAGAAAGGATGCCATTGAAGTGTCAGGTTTTTCTAGTTTCTCTATGGTTCATTATGATTCTTTTTCTCTAGTATTTCTAATGTGCAACTTGTACCTTGCAGTCCTCTTTTAAACACTGTATTAGGGAAGAGATGAATTTGCAGGAAAGTTCAGAAACCTGCAGAAAATGTAAGTACATCTGAATGCCAAACAAAGTAATGAGATGTCATTGGAATTGAGTCTCGTGTGTTGTGGCTGAAAATTAGAATTAAAATTGTATGGTCTGTCTTCAGTTCCAGTAGCAAACTTGTCTTTGGCTGTGCAGCTGTAATTGAGATGCAGCTGGCAGGAGGAACTGACAGTGAAGAAGACAACTGAGGCTAAGAAAAACTGGTAAAGAAAATCTGCAGGTTTTTGAAAGATAGCATTTCATTAAAATTAAATTAAGCAACATAGCTGGAGAGAAGGGGGAGCATTCACTGTCTCACGGCTGAAATAAAGGCAAGTCATGTTGTGGGTGCTGATGAGCAGGGCTTTGGGAGCTGCCCTGGAGCTGTGCAGGTCTGCCTGCAGTCCCCTGCTGCCCCGAGCCTCCACACAGGGCCTGCCTGGGATCACTGGTGTCTTCTACCTTTACTTGGATCCATTACCTGCTCCTCAGATGAGGATGTTCGAGCAACAAAAAACACTTTTAAAAAAAATAATTTCAAAATAATAATGATTTTCTCTAATTAAGCTGTAACTGTGCTGAGGAATCTTAAGGTTGTTTATGCAATCTGAATTCAGTGTCTTCTTTTGTAAGAGTGATTTTTTGAAAACACCCCTTGCCTCATTCACTCACCAGGAGGGACTTGCTGTGTCTCTCGACAGTGAGAGAGGAGGCTGCTGTCAGATGTCAGTCCAACTTTACACTGAGTGACAAAGGTGAGGTGGGAGATAAAGGATAGTTTCATGCTTGAAATGAGTTAATGCTCTGGAAAAAATTGGATTCTGCTCCTGCCTGTACTGTGAAGTTCCAATTTGTAAGTAATAGTGTCTTTTTTTCCTCTTGTGTTCTGCAGGCTTATTCTAGCAGCTAATAGGGATGAATTCTACCACAGACCATCCAAATCGGCCGAGTTTTGGGACAGCAGCAATGAGATCCTTAGTGGTATGTGTGTCTTGCTGTTTTGAGGGGTTTATTATATAAGGGAATCATGACATGGTTTTTTCATTGTTAGGGTGATGGTGTTGCCTTTCTAATAAGAAATTTTCTTCTTTATACATCTAAGAAAAATATGCTGTGAGTTTGAAACATTTTTTAATTTTAATGTATTTAATAACCTGACTCTTACTTGTTCCATTAGGTCTGGATATGGAGGAGGGAAAAGAAGGAGGGACATGGCTGGGAATCAGTAAGAAAGGCAAGATGGCAGCCCTGACAAACTATATGCAGCCAAAGATTGATAAAAATGCAAAAGGAAGAGGTATGGAGGACTTGAAATAAAAAACAAAAAAGGAAGTGGACAAACAAGCCCTGATGTTGTAGTATAATATTGATGATTACAATATTAATTTTCTTTAACACAGCTTTATGGACAAAAAGAATGTTTATGTGCTGTAAACAATTTTTTTTAACTGATGAGTTTGAGTACAGATGTGAAGAACTTGACTTGGAAAATGATTTCTTGATCAAGCAGGCATAAGTAAAACAAGATGTAATGCCTAGAGCCTGAAGTCACATTCATACAAGCTATGCAGCAGCACCATCTCCTCTGCAAAGTAATTCTAATTAACAGGCAGAAAAATTAGCCAAGCACTGAGCTAGTTTTAGATTAAGTAGATTTCTTAAAGTGTATATTCATATTCAAACACCTTTGTCAGGGAATGCAGCTTGGATTATGCTGGAGGTAGCCTAAAAGATTCTTCTTCCCCATTGATCAATCAGAGGAGGAGAAATAATAGAAAAACCCTCGTTCAAAGAGGGTGCTCAAAACAGCACATCTGTTGGGTTTTTTGAAGTAAAAATAGACTTGTGTGCAACTGTCATGTGGTGCTGGATTGGGAATATATTGCAGTGACAAACAATGTTATACAGAGAAACAAATGAACCATGTCATTTGTATTTCATTTTGGGATCATATATCAGGGAAGTGAAACAAGACAAGAAAGAATATGTAAGGTGGGAGGAGACAAAAGGTGCATTCAGTCCAGAATAGTTAGTAAATCTGAATTCTTAGAATTTCACCAAGAGCTTTTGACTGAGTTCTTCAGAGTAAAAGTCATGCTCTTAATGTGGACATGGTACAATGATGTAAGACTTTTAAAGGTTGGTTCATTATTTGGGTTGGTTTTGTGGTTTGGGGTTTTCTTCCACTGTTAGAGCCTGTTGGCAACAGGAATCTTTATCTTTCTGTTTATTTTACCAGGGCTGTCAGAATAGTGAGCGCACACATACAAGTTGCTCTATGTACTTCTCTTTCTTAGGTGCTCTTGTAACAAACTTCTTGACTGCAGATCTGGACAGCTACTCTTACTTGAAGAAAGTTTCAGTAGAGGGACATCTTTACAATGGATTTAATTTATTAGCAGCTGACTTGAAGTAAGTCTCTAAAACATCACAGTTCAAATATCAGAGGGAGAAAGATAATAACAGTGCTGTACCTAAAAGTCATAGCACCAAAGTGTAACAATGGAAAGCCTGTCACAAACTAAACTCAGAGCTCATGTTTTTGGTAATTGGCATGCAAGGCCCTAATTTTATTGTAGTCTTCCTTTCCTTTGTTATTGTTTATCTTTCAAACACTGGAGAGCTATCTTGTATTCTAAGCATTGCTTCCCACAAAACTTCTTGCAACTCCCTGATAGGCTGTAGGCAGTCTTTACCCTGGAGGCTCTGGGGTTTGTATTTTGAGAAGACAAAACCTCAGCTCATAATTTCTCAGACATCTTCTTTTCTCTGAGAGTTGACATGCTGCAGCAGGATTAGAACAGCTGAAAGCTTGCAAGCTATTATTCCTGTCAGTGTGTCTGTGTCATTAATCTGTCCTTAAACATTAAAAATCATCACAAGACAAATAAACATTACCCTAAAGTTTCTGTAGCTGAGAAAGGATGTTGGATACTTAATTATAATTTAGTGTGATTGGCACAGTCCTTTTTCACTGCTTGTGCATGTGTCTATGCACAAGTACATCTGCTGCTTTGCCTTCTGCCTGATGGGGAGGAGTGGAAATGCAGGGCTGAGGCCTCTCCAGGCCTGTGTCAGTTCCCAGCTGGATGCACACTGCATGCCTGGGAGCACAGCTGAACTGCCAGGGGCACACTGCTGCTTTGGCACTCTTGTGCAGAAGCATTAATCTTGTCAGACAACCTGATGGTGCAGGGCCTTCTCCCACTCTGCTTTTCTGCATGCTTCTGGGAATGCACTTAAAGCAGAAGGCCACAGTGTTTACTGTTTTCAGTGGAAAGCATTTCTAGCACCCTCTCACTAACAGGCCTTGTATTTACATTTTTCACCTTCTGTATTAGACCACCTTCAGCTGATGGCCAAAACTTATGAGTCAGTTCTGTGAAGATACCATGAGTGTATTTCTGCTTGGAAATAAATTAATAGGTAATGTTTCCAGAAATTCAGTCCAGTAGATGGCCAGGCAGTTGGAGGGTTTGATGCTTTTTGGTCTTTTTACTCTCTACTTTATAAAGTTCATCGTCTCACCAGAGAATTCCCAACATTTTTCAGTTGCCTAAATTATTTTTTACCATGGTCAGAGGATTTGACTTTTTGAGCTTTCTGCTGTATGTTGCTGCCTTGCTACATTGCATAAATTGGAAGGCTATATTTTACTGAAAAGGTAACAGAAGAAATAGATGTTTTCAAGAAAACACCATATTCAAGGTGTGGCCTAGCAAGCAGTAAGTTTGAGTTTCTTCCTTTTAATGTAGGAAAAGAGAATAGTGATAATGGCTGCTAGTACGATGATATTAAAGTAGGTTTGATTGATTTTATTTAAGGTAATCATTCCTGTGTTGGGTTTGTTTGTTTATTCCTCCATGCTGGGGTGATAGAGAGTTGTATGCTCAATTGAATAGTCTTTCCATGGTGATACAGGTCATAATTCCTTGTTGAGTATCACTCTGAAAGCTGTGTGTGTTGATTAACTTCTCTGCTTTGACATGTCCTTAGCCTTGGATACTCTGATGAAATGAAATTCTTGGCAAGCTAATGATGCAGAGCAATTTCAATAATATTTGTAAACTTGTCATTTTGGAAATTAGAATTACTCCAAAGAGAAATGTGGCATGTGAATGGAGCTACTTCTCAGTGTAAATAGAAAATGGTGTTGTAGTTGATGCTATTTTGTTGGGCCGTGTTACTGTTCAAAACAAAGATTGAGGACTGTCCTTAATGTGTTCTTCCATTGTGTAACAAATAGTGATGGGCTCTGTTAGAGTGTGTGAAACGGAGGGGAAACTCAGACTGCAAGGGTAAATGAAGCACTGGTGGGAAGGGGTCTACCTGAGCACATTCTGCTGAGTGTAAGCAGCATATTTAGAGAGATTTACAATGTTTGAATCTTCAGGTACACGTTTCAGAAAAAGAAATTTTATCTTCTCTCAGTATGATTACGATGACAGTGTGCTAGATGACAGGTGCAGTAATACAAGAAAGGGAGCTGGAAACAACTATGCAGGTTATAAAATCTCATTGTTCATTTCCACAGCTTAGTGTGACTCTTATTTTTAACATGCATGGGTTTTGACACTTTCAGTGTAATAATCTATTTACTCTGTGGCATCTCTTTATATCAATTTAAACACTATTGATTTGTTGTTTTAAGAAAATTACTTAGTACTTTTATTTTTCTGATTTTTCAGTTTATCATCTTGGGTGTTTATCATCTTTCAGTTTATCATCTTGGGTGTACCTGCTGAGTATGAGAGTCATGAATATTTATTCAGTTATGCTAAACATACTTTTATGTTGAATTATGGCATGTGGCAAACAGTGTCTGTTTGGAATCTTGTGCAGCTGCAAAATTGGCTTCCAGGAAGGCAGTGTTGCCACTCCTCTCATTTTTGCTGTCTGTAGGTCTGATTAGAAAGGAACAAGGTTATCAGAGGCTGGACTGTTCTGTAAGGTAAATACCTGCTCAATATCTCAATATTCAAGGGGTTTTTGTTCTTTCTCCATTTGTGATAATACCTGAAGGCAGTGAGCTGCTTTTGTTGATGATCAGGACGTCATTTCTGTCCTGGGGAAAACCTGTGTTCAACAAATCTACTGCTACACCTACTCAGCCTTTCATGGGTACCTCAAACTTGTGTCAGGGCTGTTGTGGCAGCATCTCACTTGTGTTCCTTACAGCCAAGTGTGTAATTCAGACTGCCCTGAAGGACAAATTGGCAGCTTCTTGTCACCCACCCAGCAAGTGTAGCCTCTGACAGGCTGTCAGTTAGAACCCATCTAGTTCATGTGCAATAAGATCCCTGTGGAACAGGAGTGAATCACTTTCTCCATGATGAATAGACAAATTGTGCCTTACAAACAAGTCAGCTGGAGGGGATTACAGAAAATTGCCTTTTGGGTGAACTTGTCTGTTCTCCCCTGTCACAGACAGTATTCAACCCCTGCAGGGAAAATGTACTAAACTATGCCATCACCTGCAGGCTGTCATTCAGCATGGGTAATGTGACCTGGCTGGGTGGGAAGGATTTGATTGCTCTCCAGAGATTGGATTTAGGTGCCTTTTCAAAGTGAGATAGGGTCAGAGTGCTGGTATGAAAAGAACATGGATGGTCAAGTCCCTGGGATTGCTCTGTAAGCTCATTTCCTTTTCTTCTCATGCACTTCCTAATTCAGTATCACCTCTGGCACCTGTCTTGCTTCTTGTGGCTCCCTCATGAAGATGAGGTATTTCTGCATAGATCTTCAGTCACTTCCAGTGGATGGATGGGCAGTCCAATGTCAGAAGAAAGAAAAATGCTTCTGAAAAACATTGTTATCTCTTTCCTCTACTGTCACCTTCTGCCTGGCCCAAAATATTAGGACAGTGCCAAAGAAATGTTTAGACATCAGCAACAAAATCAGGGTCTGTTTTAAGGCAGACTTTGTATGCTGTGAGTATCCAGCAGAATTCTTTTCACCATTTTATTTGATGGTAGGTGGTACATGTTTGGGCTTTGCAGTTGGTGGTTTGGTGTTTGCTTGTTTATTTTTAGCTTCAGAACAGAAAGAGTTATCTCATGATAGCTCATGAACATTGAAGAAAAGAAAATGAATCTGTGAACCATAGTACTTATTGGAAACTACTGTGCAGCATTTCAGTGTTGCTGCCAGTTTCATCTTTTGTCCTTGCACAAAAACTACATGCACAGATTATTCATAAAACAATCCAATGTCCTTGTCTGTAGCAGAGTAGAGCTCAGTGCCCAGGGGAGTGATCACTTGGTGATAGCCACACTCTGCAGCTTTATTGCCTCACTACTTTTTTCCTTTTTCTTTCATTCTGAGTTTTTGTTGGACATGACTTGGAGCCACCTTGAAGGTGAAGCAGGGCAGGAGTGCAGAAGGACATTGCTTATGTTTCATCAGCATTAAGAAGTGATTGTGGCAAACTCTGCATGGCTTTCATGTTGCTGTGGAGCTTCTATTACTACTGAGATTTGTGCTGCCTAGAATATTGCCTAGAACATTTATTATTGCTTACATTTTTTGACAGAATGATGTATCTAAGAGCATAATTTTAGTTTCTTTCTGCTGTCAGCTATGGCTGGGATTTAAAAATATGTCTGTTGGGTCCTATTGTCATCACTTTAATTATGCCTTTATTACTTCTGCAGTGAAATTGGTATCTGTACTTGTAAGGCTGGGAGGGAAGAGAATCTTGAGTGCAGGCCAGGGTTTTGAGGCTATTGCTGCGATCAAGCTTACAGAGATTTTTTTTCATCTTGGCTTCTGCTTTGATGTTCAGTTCTGAGTACCTGTAAACAGTAGGAAGGGAATAGGCAGAGCCAAATGATAAAAGAAAGAGTAGCTGACTGGCACAGTGAACTAAATTTTGAAAGTATCCCCATTTCAGAAGTCTCTTGGGAGGCTTTAGTCTCCCTTTGACAGAAGGCAGCAGCAGTGCTGCAGTGGAGGTAAGTGAAAACACTCCTGGGGGAGTGTGCATGCCATAAAATCCCAATGTCCTGAATTAGTGACCCTGCAGTTTGCATGTATTCCCCATCTTCTTGATAAACTCCAGGGGATCTTGTTACTGAATTTGCCAGTGACACAAATCTTGGAAGAGACGCTAGAGGATTATATTCTTTCATGTAAAAAGCTGTTTAGAGGAAGTCAGCAGAGCCAGCTTACTCACTGTGCAGTCTCATCTGTGGCAGGCCTTGTCTTACAGCTGTGTCCCAGGGCTTCCTTGGGCCCCTTGTCCACCTCTCCATCTAACACTGTGAGGCTTCAGGTTATAACAATTGCTTTGATCTTTTCACAGACCTTCTACAGCAGGTATTTGAAAACAGAATAGTTAATGCACCAGTACAGTAGTTTGTGTGATTTCTGATGTCTTAACTTAGGACACCTAAGGTGGGCTGTTGTCTGTGAAGAGTTTGTGTGGTCAGTAAGTCTTGACATCAGCATAAATAAATTTGGACAAGGGTCTTAAGGATGAGAAGAAAAAGATAAGGAAAATAAATGTCTTTTAAGCCACTAGAGGAAAGTCCAGAAATATTACACATTTCTTTTAAAAGTCGATAAACTGCAAATTGAGTAACTGATGTTATCATAGCTGATGTTATGTCTTATGTGATATTTAACAATAAAAATAGTATACACAATATACTCGCTGTGATTGCTGTCTTCTGCCTCTGCTGAAAAACTTGATCTTTCTGTGTGGTATCAGACAGCTCCTTGGCTTTGGGAGGAGGAAGAGTAGTGCACAGAGAAAGGCACTTCTGTTTTTGCTTTATGGGGACTTTTTCCATATTCCTCTTCTTGACTCCTCTGACTTCTATAATTAATAAGTTAATATTTCCTTCTTCATTTGGCTGTCTTCAAAGGACACTGTAGAATGTCTTTCATAATGGCTTTTCAAGAAGAATATAAACAGCTAAATCAAGACTGTTTTGCTTGTTATTAAGGTTTGAGTAGCGGATGCTAAGTTATGCAGAGCAATTTAAGTTCCAGTACATCATTAATGAGATTGCATTCTATGTACTCTGATTTGCATCAGCACAGAGATACTCCTTTATATCTT